AAAATTCTTTAAGATATTTGCTTGAATGTTTTCTAAAAATGAATCCTGAGGATAAATGAATTCCTAGAAGCTGAATATTTAAACGAGCAATATAAATTAACCTTTCAGCAATTTTAGTTTTACATTAAAATATATTACAGTTTTAGGGCATGTACAAATGAATAAAACGGGCTGGAAAGAATTTATAATATTTTTTAAATAGTAGTTTTTTCCTATTGATTTCTCGGAGACTCTTGAAAGGATTAACAAATAGATTAATCAGACATTTTTATTGCCGTTAGTCACTCATAGACCGTTGTCTAGCGGCCTGGAAATCGAAGGTCTTATTAAAGTAAATATTGTCTCGACAATTAACGAACGTGTATTTCTTTAATTTATTCTCAATTCCTAGTTATGTACAGCACGTACTTCAATAAGTATTTTTCTAAGCATTAATTTCTGTGATGTTTTTAAAAGATGTCTACGCAAACAACTGCACCCACTAAATAGAACGCTGGAACACACACAGATATATATATATATATATATATATATATACCCAGATGTAATGAGGGCGAAAAGAATAAAATCAAAACGTTCATAGGATTAATTTAAAAGAAGGCTCAATACCAAAAGTAGAGTAATCTTTAACAAAAGATGTTACTTACGGACAAAAAGGGCACCTCGAAGTGGTGTAATGGTTAGCAAGCTTGTTTCGCTAGAACAGTTGCAACTTAGTGAGTTCGATCCTCACTGGGTGCCCCATACTTTCGGCCTTGTGCCACATCTGAGCTATACTTGGAAAATCACTACTTACGGACAAAAATGTACTCACGACAAAGATGCACTTTTGTTTCGATGCGAATTCATCTCGACAGGTGAGGTACAAAGATGGTTTGTTTATATATATATATATATATATATATATATATATGACCAACAGTTGTAGGAATGTTTAAATAATACTGCTCTTTTCAAAATGTCCAATTTAATTGGATGTTATGTATTAATCATTTATGGAAACAGCTGTCTTCTACAAATAAGCGCGACTAAAAAAAATCGGTAAAAATAAAACGAGAACAGGAGTTGATGAAAAGTTTTAACCCTGATTTTGTCTATTTTTTTATTTATTTATTTATTTATTTTTTTTTCATGCTTTCTCGATTAATGCTTTCATACTTGAAACTCTTTATTGGCAGCAAACCCAATTTTCACTTGCCCATTGACATAGATTTTAGCTTACGTGCTTATTTAGTGCTGTCATCGCGTATTGCCTTTTCGTTTTTGGTCATCCGTACATTGTCGTAACATTGCTCTCACGAATTAACTCGGAATAACAGTAGGCAATTATCGCCCGTTTTCTTAATTTTTATTTATTCTAAACGAAAGAAGAAACATTTTTTTCTGGTGAGGCTATAGAGGGAATCCGAGTATGGTATTTTAGTTATCGTTAAGGGAAAGGATTTATTTATTTAAAAAAAATAGTGTTAAAAATGAGGATATCATTTTCCTCGGGAAATTCTAGTCGCAGCGCAAATTTAATCGAGCTTTTGAAAACTTCTCATGTTTGTTATTAACAAGTTCAATCGCCTTGGGCGTCGAAACGTCCCATTTATTGAATTGTAAAAGATAATTAATCTTAATAACATCCAGTAAAATAATCATTAATCTGATTAATAATCTGGTCAGTGATTTTTTTTTTTTTTCTGAACATACCCTTGTAAATTATATGTCCACTAATGACCTAAGATTTAGCTTAATGACAATTTTAAAAATAGTAAAAGAATATTTTAAAAATGATTTTACATACCCGAAAAAGTATGTCGAATCCATAAAGAAATGCATCAATTAAAAACTAATTATATTGTCACAGCGTCGTGTCCATAAAAAGCATAATTATAGTGTCAAAAATAATTGTAATAATGTAATTATAACAATTATAATTAATTCCTTCATTCATAACCAATGAAAATTAATCCTACTTTCCTCCTCTACACATGGACAAAGGTAACATTCATTATCGGAAAAGCAGTTCACACACAATTCGTCATCATGTGCGTCAACGAAAATTTCGTCTCCTTTTCAGTCCATAATAGTAACATTAATGTTTTAGCACACAACAAAAATTTGAAGAAAGAAAACGCCAGACACATGTATTTTTGTAACTCAGTTATCTGGACACTCATTGCACATATCTATAAACAAAATACATACAAAAATGACTGAATACAGGTTGTTTATTCTTTTATTCTATCCTGTCAGATTTCGATCCATATTTCATCTACATTTGGTCACAAACTTAGAATTTTTCTGTCTTACTATCTCCGGTTTCTCAAATACCGCACACCAGATAATAATACTCCTTTTGTTGTTTCCATATCTTGCTGTTTGCCATTTTTACGAGTATTTTTGTATGCAGACAACGGACTTCGGATGCAACGGAAAAAAAATTGAAGGCAAAATAGTTATGCTGGAAAAAAGTTGCAAATCGTCAGCGATGTATTTCAATGTGTGGTCTTTGCGGAACGAATCGTATTAGTTCTCAAAGTGGACACGCGGTGGCTGGCCTTTCAATTGTAAACAAAGACGTGAAGTATATAATGTGATATACATTAACTCGTGCGTGAGAAAGTAGCTGTGAAAAACATTTTTTTGTTTGATTAATATATCTATATTAATATATATTTATTTATGCCATATCTAAATGTTTATAATATTTACATTATAATCATAACTACTGGTAGTTACTATAGGGATTTTATAAATCAAAAATAATCCCTTCCTATCTACGGACAATCGGCTTTAACAGATCAACCATTCCGCCTACTAGTTCGTTCTGTATTTAAATGTTAGGGGGTTTATATTTATTTACTCAGTTAAACTCTATCTCCAAAAATACAACCTAAATGAAAACTTCAGTATATTTAAGTTATTGCAATAAGTTATAAAAATTTTAATTAAGAATATATTTTGGTTATATTTAAAAGGAGACCTAACTTACTTTCGTCGCATGAATGTTAATTTTAATTCAGTGATTAAATTCAAAATTACTGTCTCCCCCACATACAGGGATAATCGCTTTAATCCAATGGGCTAATGTTCAGTCTTAAGGACGAGATATCGCGAGGCATGGCCAGCGGAACGAGAATAATCTACCCCCGTAGGTTAAATGAAGGAGCCAGTTCGAAATTTCCACATGATTACCCGGATCGCTAATCGGCTTAACAAGGCCGGAGAGCACGATAACCAAAACGTTGTGATGACAAAGACGAGGACAAAAATCCTAATAGAAATAATTCCTCATCTCTGAAACGCAGAAAGGAATAATTTTCGGTGTTACCATGGCGTGCTAGCTACCATCCGTTTCCTGCTACGGCGTGCTAGCTACCATCCATTTCCTGCTACGGCGTGATAGCTACCAAATGATGGAAGTATGAAATATGTTAAAAACCATTAAAGGAGCTTAATAAACAGTTTGTAGTGTAAACTTCATACCAGTTAATTATAGTATTAGGTGACTTTCCAGTAAAATTTACTGATGTACTCATCAAGAATTCTTGAACAAAATCATACACGAATTCTAAAATTTCTCACAATTTTTTTTTACATAAATACCTCCATTTATGAATACAAATTAGATAAATACACAACACTTCAAGTTAAAATAACACTATGTAGTTTTATGAATAAATTTCTGTAGACGAAAGTTTTTTTTTTTTTTTTTTTTTTTTTTCTGCGTATAAATCCATCTTCGAAGGGATTTTAATGCAGGCCTATCTCTCTGTTGCGTCTCTGTCTTTGGGCAGAGTGCACTCTGGGGCTTCTCTATCAAAGGACTGAGGGGCAACTGAGAAAATTAGACTGAGAGGTGCCCAGCCCTAGAGAACAGCTGCCCGAGGCCGCGCCCTCCCATTGCACAAGAGGGAGGGATCGGTGCTCGCACCGAGGCCAGCCCAACCAACGGTTGCGGGGGCTGTGGGGAATTTCTGTCCCTTGCCTCGGTGTACGTGCTCGGGTCTCCACTTTAAAACGACCTTGTGTCACATCTCGTTCTTGTGGGGGAACAAGTAAACACCGTAATTTTTTTTTTTTTTTTTTTTTTTTTTTTGGCGGGGGAGTGCATCGTCATTTACGGTAGGTCGTAAATGCCTCGGTACGGATCATTCTATAGTAATACCTGATTTTCTTGAAATAATATCTTTATATATAAAAAAAAAATGTATTTATTTTTAAAGGATACATGAAATGTCTTTCTCATTTTGAGAATAATATTCATTAGTATTTAAAAATACTGGGTTGACCCAAAAATTCGTTCGGTTTATTAAAGTAAAATTTCTACTTCAGCGAAAGATATTTTGGCCAACCCAATAGAATTAAGATAATTGCGACTGAGACCACTGTCATATATTGGAAGATTGTATAGAACGAAATAGGCTGCAAATGGACAATACCTTCTCAGTCGATGTTGCAGAAGTTTTCGATTCGAATGCTATATCTTCAGCACATCTGGTGACAATTTCCATAAGCCCAGATCTGGAAATGGAAAAAAAAACCTTAATCCTGTATTTACATTCGCCCTTAGATAAAAAATGATTTCTCTTCATATCTGAAAAGATAGTAATAAAAAGTATCGTCTGAAAATGTGTGTAACGCTAAATTATTTCGAAGCAAGTGGATTTCATGTGACATGTGTGGATCATAAAACGCTACACGTTCTCAATGCATTGAAATCGACAAAGGAAATTAAGACTTGAAATGTAGTTTAGGAGAAGGAATTGAAATTCACTTGAAAATATGTACAGCCACTTGCATGTATTTGCACACACTGAGCTCTTTTGAGACAGCGTAGATAGATGGGGTGAGATCTATCGGAGTGGTGTAGAAAAGGAGCTGAGAGATCAATAGAAACAGTATATATATATATATATATATATATATATATATGAGTGAGGGTGATATCTGTAGAGATGGCATTGATGGATAGAGAGGGAAACATCTATAGAACTGCCTTGAATAGTGATATGTTCTCAATGTAAGGTGTAAGTATGTTAATATTCGTCCGTGTTTGCGTGTGTTTTTCTGATTGGATGTAAAAGTGAGTTGATAATCGGATCTGATATTTGCCGAGCGCAAAACAAACACCTTACGCGCACACTGTCCAATATCAGCGTTCGATCTTCGTTGCTTTGCAAACAACACTTTTCTTTTGTCCTCATTGTATTTCTCCGTTTTTTTTTGTTGTTTTTTATTTTCTTCCTTTTGAAATTTCGATATAAAGCTTTATCCTCCCCGAAAAAAAAAATGCTTACCTACCTCCTCCTTTTTCTGTTTGTTTTTCTTCGTTGAACGTCTTTCTTAGGCGTTCATTCAGACCAACCCGCCGCAATCTTCGTTAATGTCTGTTTTTCCCGTTCACTCCGATTAAGCCCCAACAAGGGAAACCAGAATCGTCATCATTACCTCTGTCGCCCTAGTCACTTCCTTGTCACCATTAACACTGGAACTGTCTCAAAAGGCTAAGCTTCTTTTTTTTTTTTTTTTTTTTTCAGTTGTCTGATTGGTGGGAAATTTACAGCTGCGTAATTTTCATGTTTTATTCAACAAGATGACTGATATTGTCCGCTTTTCTGTGTTTCAATTTTTCTACATCCAGTATAAGAACACGATCAAACCCATGATATCTGAGCGTCAACTTTCCGCTCATCACAATCCAGATGCCTCTCTGCAGCCTTCTGGGTGATTATTTTTTTTTTCACCTTTGTAACAGACCAAAAGTTGGAAACCTTTCAATACTTTATCGTTATTTTCATGGAAAATCTTCCGATTAGCTACATTCTTTAGTTGAACGTTCACGCAAACGGCAATGAGCCACCTTCATACACTTCGCCTTCTATTAGTGAGATGTCACTACAACTGGAATATTTTGTGGAATCGACTCCCAAGAGGATGTCTTCCCGACCACTACAATCCTAATCTGATTAAGTCTATGATTAACACTTTTCTTTTTGGCACATAAACAGAAGCTGGGCCTCTTAATCCTTACTTTTATCGCTCACAAAAAAAAATCGATAATCCTCTAACTTAAGTGGCTCTTGGACCTTGTAGAAATTAGTACAAAGAAGCTTAGCACTAGATTTCTCTAAATGTCCTAGCTGCAAATATACTTTTTCCATATACACGGTTGTACATGTACTCTGAGTCTGTCTACATGAATAGGATCTGCGACTGCTTGTTAGGAAATCCGTCTCGGCCAGCCGCGTCCACGCACCCCAAATCTTCGGTGAGTCGTGCTCTCACGACTCTTCGGTGAGTCGTGCTCTCACGACTCTTCGGTGAGTCGTGCTCTCACGACTCTTCGGCGAGTCGTGCTCTCGACTCTTCGGCGGAAATCGTGCTCTCACGACTCTTCGGCGAGTCGTGCTCTCACGACTCTTCGGCGAGTCGTGCTCTCACGACTCTTCGGCGAGTCTCTCTTCGAGTCGTGCTCACGACTCTTCGGCGAGTCGTGCTCTCACGACTCTTCGGCGAGTCGTGCTCTCGACTCTTCGGCGAGTCGTGCTCTCACGACTCTTCGGTGAGTCGTGCTCTCACGACTCTTCGGTGAGTCGTGCTCTCACGACTCTTCGGCGAGTCGTGCTCTCACGACTCTTCGGCGAGTCGTGCTCTCACGACTCTTCGGCGAGTCGTGCTCTCACGACTCTTCGGTCGTGCTCTCACGACTCTTCGGCGAGTCGTGCTCTCGACTCTTCGGCGAGTCGTGCTCTCGACTCTTCGGCGTGCTCTCCGACTCTTCGGCGAGTCGTGCTCTCACGACTCTTCGGCGAGTCGTGCTCTCACGACTCTTCGGCGAGTCGTGCTCTCACGACTCTTCAGGAGTAGGCTCGGCCTTCACAGCTGTCTTTGCCACCGACACCAGATGGGAGAAAGGAAATAAGGAGAGAATGACGATCCCAATACCAGCTGGTGTCGACGACGAAAACCTGCCATAGATAAAAACACGAAAAATAGAATAGGCCGCTAAATCTGAAGGAAAGTATATATGTATTAGTCAGATTTCGTGTTGGTTTTCGCCATTATGTTGCTTAATACAATTTTCTGAAACGTTTACAATATACTGAAAATATTGCGTGGGAACTTTTAAAATTATATCCAATCAATTTGGTTGAGTCATATTTTGTTAGGCATCTTGAGCGTCGTTCATCATAGTGTAAATGCCGTACGCCTGTTTTTATAAGACGCTGTTTTTATCCAAAATAATATCCAAAAATCTGCCTCTTATACTTTAGAAATCAATACCATATTTTACATGACTCAAAACTGTCAAAATCGACTCAAATTGGATTTATTTGTTTACCAAAGTAATATCTAATGGCATATTAAAGGAGATAAATCTTTTATAATCTTTCTATGTCCCGTATGGTTCCATATATTTTCAGGATTTTGTTGAGTCAAACACCTACGTGAGTTTGGATATAATTAAATTGTAGAAATATTAATTTTCGATAAAAGAATTACATGATGGATAACTTCAAAATATATAAAATATTTTATTTTTATTTTAGTTATACATTAAGTCATTATCACGTTACGTCATACATACAAATCACAAAATTAAACAATGTCCCGTTTTTGTCTTTCATTTTAAAAAAGTTTTGTTTATTTTCTTTGCTCTAAAATCGGGTGCGTTTTATGCATGATAATATTTTTTCCTCTGGGATTTCTCTGCTTTTTTTTTAACTGAGTCTTATAGTCAATAGCAATCTATACACAAAGGTTCACAGTCAATATATAAATGAATATAAAAGATACCTTTTGCAACATTCACACGGTCGACTGGGGCCGCTCCATCAAACGAACCTGTTTGATTCTTTTAGATAGGCAAGTCCATACTCGGAGTTTCAGTGGGAAATTAGATTGAGAAGCCTAGTATAGTGCGATCCGGTTTAAATTCAGTTTCCTTCTAGCTTGGTTGCCATTCAACGTTATAGAACAAGTTCTGTCCTATGTTAGCCATTGCTCGGGAAGGAGACGGATATATGCCTTTACAATGGTATCAGCACGTAATTCGAAATCTGCTCTCTTGTTCCTCAATTGGAACCGTTAACCATTACTCCGGCGTGCATCGAATATAAAAAATAAGTTGTAAACGTTTCGTTCCTATAAATGTGCTTCTTTAGTAGTGAAAGCTTTACTTACAATGAACACACTTTTTAAGTGTTATCCTCAGGAAATACATATGTCTATATTTCTTGCTAAAAAACATCGTGTTTATCTATGTATGTGCCCTTAATGATAGCTTCGTGTGAATAGCAACTCTCATTAAAACAAATCATAAACAATTTAAAACCTATTCTATTAGAGCAAAAATTAATAAACAAATAATTTATTCTTGAATACGCATTCTAAAATGTACTTGTATTCCTAGAATACGCAGCAAGTCACGTTTATACGGCACTACAAATTTTTAAACGCGGAATAACATTCCTTTTTTCGTGACATCACATTGTAAACTTAATTTCAAAACACAAAAAAGACAGACTATACTTAAATATACTTGTAATTTCATTTTATTTAAAAAATTCTAGATAACAAGCCAGTCAAAGGCTGGATGTCTTCGGCAGAACTCATGAACTGCGGCCATGTTCTTGACACCTAAATAGGAAAGATAATCGGTCAAAGAAAAATTGTTTTAAAATATGAGATGGATCAGTCATTTTCAAAAATAACCTTGTTTGAATAAATATTTACTAACTACATGAACTCAGATAAACTCTTGTAAAATCAAACCTGCAGGTTCAAGAAATATCGGTCAATATGATAGATCTTGTAATTTGGAAGTGATTGTCAGCATAAAGTAAAAATACATACAGCAAATGATTTAATGTACAAAGAATTCAAAAAGTCATAAAAGTCTACACTTCTTTATAAATAATCAGCTGAGTCCCTGTAATATCCTTCTTATTCAACTGGTTTTGCAAGTTTGGATTCCCGCATATTCGAATCAGTCGATAATAAAATCGAAAGCAGGAACTACATTAGTTTTATTTCTGTAGACACCAAATTCCACATGGGAACCAGAAATAAAAACGGTTTTGTACTAGTCTGCTATCGTTGCTAATAATGTTCTTCACAAATTTAACTTTTGCTTTATTCGATCGGATTATTTGTCTATTCTCAATCTGTGATACGCATCCTAGTAACAAAATAAATGCACCCCATCTCCCCTCTCGCTTGTAACTATGCATTACAATAAATGTTTTTCAGCTCTAAATCTGAATTAAGTTAAAGCTTCCTAATCTTCTATTTGGTTATAATACAGGTTATTTAACTAAAACACTTTTGCAATTATGGAATGTGTACAAAGCTAGGCACAGATTATTGCGAGACAGGAGGATTTCTTTGGTAACGAAGAAAAGAATACTAAGCTATTACCTGATATCAGTCCCTCTTTACAGCAGCGAATGTGGGATAATTTACTCAAAGATGGAGAGACTCTAGGCGACAGATCTGTTTCTAGAGAAGGATGCTAAGGATATGGTCATAGAGAGGATGCAAACAAGGAGGAGGCTTATACTTAGCATCAGGAAGAGGCGGCTGAAGTTCCTGGGACACGTGATGAGTAAGGAGGGCCTGGAGAATCTAATACTCACGGGTCGAATAGAGGAAAAGAGACAAGGGGAAACAACGCATGACATACCTAGCAGCCTTAAACAAGTGGATGATAGAACGTCGTCTGGGGGAGGTGGCAGAGGAAAGGATCTTTTTTGAGAGCTGTAAGGGATAGAGAGAGGCGGAGAGCCATGATCGCCTACTTTCTAAAAGGAAACGTCACATAGAAAGAAAAAGAACTATACCCAAACAAATTAACTACGGATCCGAATTCTCTGAACGCTAAAAAGATATCGTCATTGGCGAAAAACCTCCTGAAAAGTTCTTTGAAGAATGTCGACGCGTGTGACAAGTTATGTTAGATAACAAAGTATATATCAACGAGCTTATATATATATACACCCCTTATGTTTAATGGATATAGATGATGGAAGTTGACGACTCGTTGTTCAAACGATGAATAACATCAAATCCCAGTAGCGACAGTGTTTCATGACACAATCACCAGGCGATATCGCGGTTTATTGGCTATTGACTGACTTCAATATCCACTTCTGTATTTTCATACGCTCTATCAATGGTTAGTTTGGTTTATTTTGTTTTACGGCATATCAGCCTCAATGGGTTCATTTAATGCCGACAACATTTTTAGGATAGATTCGTATGAATAGAGTATGTGTTCTTTGGTTTAGATTTGTTTGGTTTATTTTGCTTTACGGCATATCAGCCTCAATGGGTTATTTAATGCCGACAAAACTGTTATAGTTCGTAATATTTTGTTTTGTCAAAAATCTGTTTCTGGTAATATTTTTCCTTCAAAAATGTCTTGCTGGTAAGTTTTTCCTCAAAAATGTATTTCAAGTAATATTTTATTTTTTTTTTATTTTTAAAAACATTGTTGATAATATTTTTCCTTCAAAAATGTATTGCTGGTAAAAGTTTTTTTTGTTTATTTTTCTTCAAAAATGTATTGCTGGTAATAATTTTTTAAAGTATTTCTGGTATTAAAACCTATTTTCACATTGTATTTTGACCAAAGTTTTGGGGTTAACTATTTTCCCATAGCTGGGACCCTAACAAGTGCTACCACCTTGGGTCAGGGCGAACCTGGGAACACCAGCTATTAAGAGGTGGTTCCACGCTTCTCAAAACCTCCTGATGACCAGCCTTGCTGCTGGACGTCGTTTATCGTCTTACCCAGGACGACTATCCCTGATATAGAAGACTTTAACCTAAATAAATAGAATACCGTAAAACTAAATAATTATCATATATACATACTTACACACACACACACACACACGTTATGTTTAGTGGATAAAATGGACGAACTGTTTTATAAATAAGGAATTACGTCTACCAATTGTGAATACGATTCCAACGAGGCATCTAATCACACATGGGTATCCACTTTACTATAAATAACTTTGTCATACGAAATAATGTCTAATTAAAAATAAAATACTACTAATATAATTTTTTTATCCCTTGACTCGTAGGCTCGCCATGTGTACTGCAATAGTGTTTCTTGGGCAAGATAGCCTGACGAAACCCAAACTTCTCGAGGCCGGTTTCAAATTCAGTTTTTCCTTCTCCTAAACTGGTTGCCACCCAAGGTTATTGTTAGGTACCTATTCTTTGGTAATGGACTCTCCCATAGATAATAAGTAGGAGTAGCAGTGGCAAGTCTGGCAGAACGGTGTTGAGAACGTCAGTCGAGATTCGGACATTTGAAGTACCAACCATCACAACTAGATTTGCTGCGTCATTGACTATTATTTTCCAAGTTCCTAACGTTTTGTACGACTTATTAGAAATACAAGCCTCCACTGTGAAAATACTCCACAACAGTTATAGAACCCAGTCTGTCCCGTGGTTTACCCATAGCTGGGGGAGGAGGAGAGGATTTATACCTTTTCGAATGGTATTAGCACGTAAGTGAATATAATGGATCCGATTCATCAATCCGAGCCATTACTCCACCGTGACCCTACTTATATATAGTGATTTTTCCAAGCGTAGCTCAGATGTGACACAAGGCCGAAAGTATGAGAGCACCCCGGGAGGATCAAACTCACTACTCAGTCGTAATTGTTCAATTGAAACAAGCTTGCTAACGATCACACCACCTCGAGGTGCCCCATATTGATTTTCCAAGCATAGCGTAGATGTGGCACAAGGCCGAAAGTATGAGACCTCAATGAGGATCGATCTCACTACTGAGTCGTAATTATTCTAGCGAGACAAGCTTGTCTCTGGATTATCCAGCT